TGATGGCAAGTGCTTTCTCGTAATATTCTCTGGCCTTCTGATATTCACCGAGTGAGCGCAACACATTTCCTAGGTTACTGATGCATCGTGCCTCTCCTTCCTTATCACCAATTTCCATGCTGATCGCAAGTGCTTTCTCGTAATATTCTCTGGCCTTCTGATATTCACCGAGTGAGCGCAACACATTTCCTAGGTTACTGATGCATCCTGCCTCTCCTTCCTTATCACCAATTTCCATGCGGATGGCAAGTGCTTCCTCAAAATATTTATTCGCCTTCCAATATTCACCAAGTGAACAGAAAAGAATTCCCGCTCGATCATAAGCAGTGGCCTCCAATTTTCTTTGTCCAGTTGCTTTCAAGATTCTTATTGCGCTCTCAAAAAGTTCTTTCGCCTCTTCCAACTTTCTTTGCCTGCTAGTTACGACTGCCAGTGCTAGCATAAATCTCCCTTCTAGTTTGGTTTCACCAAAGACGTGGAACACGGAAAGAAGTTTCCTGGCGCATCTTTCTTCGATTTCGTCATCAGACGTGTCGAGATATGTTTTGAACATTATATGATTGATTTTTATATAAAAATTTCTGAGGATTGGATCCTCCATACCCACTGCTGAATTGTTTAATAAAAGAAAACATTCCTCGCATAACTCAAATGCTTGTAGATAACGTTTAGTTTTTAGAAGAAACTCGGCAACAACAACACCTATATGGATGGTGTGTATGACTTTATTCATGTTCTTCATTACGGCTTTTCTCGTGCGTATGTCGAAGGATGGCCCCTGTGTGAGAAATTTGAAAAATAATTGAGTAACAAGAACTTGAATGGATTTTTTAAGTTCAAGTGTTTCTTTACCTTTTAATTTGACTCAATTAAAAGATTGTGATCTGTATAAATATGTAATAATTAATGAAAGTATGTGACCTCCGGTGTTTCAGGACGCCATCGTCAACGTTACTGACAAAAACAATCAGCCTGGTCCTATCGCTGTTTATAGATTTTCGATCGAGTAGAATGGAAGAAAATTTACAAATTTTACTGGCGTTTTCTTCCGGCTCCTTGGTTCTTTTATCATTATAGCTATTCAATAGCGCTTTATACTAATGACGTCATGAAAAAAGACCCTCCGCGTGACTCAGACAAACAAACTCCACTTCTTTGAGAGCTACAAGGGAAATGGCGAGTAGTTCGCTTATTCTCTTACAGTTCTGACCGAAGAGGACGGCGTTCCTGGCTCCAAATTTGAAAGAGAACCAGAAGAATATATTGTAGACCAGCTAAAACGGTGGTTAAAATGTAGGGGCTTAAAATTAAGCGGTAAACGAGAAGATCTTGTACAGACTGTGTGAGATGCGGGAATTATCACACCCTTGATCCGGCAATCGATCATGGAAAATGGTTTGCTGCCAAAGTTTTTCAAGAAAATTCTGATGTAAACAATGTAAAAAGGGGGTTGACAGGCCTACACGACTCCCCAGCGCGTGTTTAGAATAGCCTATTCAAAGTTTGGCCCTCACGAGTATGTCTTTGAGCGATCGCCCTCTTTTGTAAGATACGAGCGGCGGATTTTTGTATATTTCGCTCAATACTGGTTGTGTTTCTATTAAATGCCAGTTCATGTAGTTTATGTAGTTAATGTTCATGCAGTTGTCATTGAATAATTTCTGTTTCTTTGACGCTGAATTTTCTCTTTCTTTCGGTGCTTTCCTCTTAGGAGCATGTGCTCAACTTACTTGCGCTGGTCTTAGATTTGCCTTCAGT